ATGCTATTAAAAGTAGGTGACTGTTTTAATTCTTTGCAAGAATTAGAACAAAAAGTTTCATCCTATGGAATTGAATCATGTGTTTCTCTTTATAAGAGAGAAAGTAGGACGATTGAGTCAGCTAGGAGAAGAGGAATTAAGAGGTTTATTAAAGAAAGTTTAATGTTTTATACAATACATTATGCATGTTACCATGGTGGAAAGAATTTTATTAGTAAATCAACTGGAAAACGCCCAAATCAAAGGTGATTCAATACGCTAACATAATTGACAATTGACTAAGATTTCATTTAAAAGAGGTATTTCTGCTCTAGTTACTGTACTGTAGTTTGGTATACACAGTCTGTGTGTTTGTTTTTGCTGTTAAAAAAAAAATTGGCTCAAAAATTTAGATTCTAAAACTGAACTTTGAAACTGAACTTGATTGATGGTCAATAAAATTTTAAAAAATGACTTTGATGGACAAGTTATAACATTAGTTTCCATTAAATAACGGCTATTTGTTTCTCTGGTTCATTTAGCTCTAATAGAGCTAAATGTAAAGCTCTATTTAGCTCTAAATGTAAAGCTCATTTAGCTCTAATAGAGCTAAAAATAATTAATCTCATAGAGCCTCTATGAGATTAAAAGTAACCTTTCTTTCATAAAATATTGACATTTATTTTGTTAGATTTAGTACTTCATAAATTTTTTTTTGGTATAAATAATTTTTTACAATGGTACATGTGAATGAGACCTTTCAAATTAAAATGTTGAGAAAACTCATTTATATTTAGCATCTGAGCTAAATGTCAAATGTTAACACTTTGTAACAGGGCTGTCTTAACACTAGTAATGGCTTATATTTATATATATTATATTGTATGTGTATATATATATATACATACATACATACATATATATATATATATATATATATATATATATATATATATATATATATATACATATATATATATATATATATATATATATATATATATATATATATATATACATATATACAGCGCTCGAAATAATGGCCAATCAATGATTGGCTATTTTTAGAGTAATTTCGAAAAATTCAAGGGAAAATAACCTGTTTTTGTGAAAAAATTACATTTGATCGGCAAGCTTTGAAAAACTATTTTGAGTGCTGTATATATATACAGTATATATATTGTGTATATGTATATATATTATATGTATATTTATCAGCACATTCCAGATGAACTGTACATTTGGAATTTGGTTTAAAGTGACTGATGATGGAATGCAGTTTTGTGTTGACAAGATGATGTTAGAGCATAACCATGATATTGATCGAGTAAACATATTTGATACTTTGTTTTTTATCTATCCTTTATTTTCCTAAAAAATATAGCCAATAATATATATTATATATATATATATATATATATATATATAATTTAATAAATTATAATTAAAATTATATATATAAATTAAATATATAATTTAATAAATTATAATTAAAAAATAAAACGTTACACAAATTGAAATAGCTTTACATAGCAGAATTTTATTTTGCTGCTTAACAGTATTAGTTGTATAGATATAAAAGAATTATAAATAAAATTGCATAAGTTTTATTAATTAGATAAATGATATATATATATATATATATATATATATATATATATATATATATATATATATATATATATATATATATAGATATATATATAAATATATATATATATATTTAATATATTTAATATATACATATTTATAATATATATATATATATATATATATATATATATATATATATATATATATATATATATATATATATATATATATCAATTATCTAATTAATAAAACTTATGCAATTTTATGTATAATTCTTTTATAGCTATACTACTAATACTGTAAAGCAACAAAAAAAAATTCTGCTATGTAAAGCTATTTCAATTTGTTTCATGTTTTATTTTTTAGGAATTTTTTAACAACCTCCCAAAAAGAAGAAAACTAAGTACAGAAGCAGAGCAAGATGTTTCGAGAATTTTAACTATGCATGGAAACAAGTGGCTAATAAAAGATCAAATACTAAAAGAAACAGGTTTAAAAAAGCTAATAATTCTACAAAAATATTTTAAGATCGTTTGTTCTATATTTGATCATGTATACTCAATGTATATTATTATATTATATCTATAATTTCAGTTTAATTCATTTTTCTACATTAGTGCAAGTATACTGATTAAAAAAGCTTTTTTAAGGTAAAAAAGTCACTTAGAGAGATCTTCATAATTTAGCTGCTAAGCAAAAAAGTACTAATGACATGGATTCTCTTTTAGCAGTTTTTAGTGAATGTAATGGTTAGTATATATAAATAATAAAAATATTAATATTTTTCAAAGATTTTTTCAACCACGTCAAGTTTATAATGTTTTTAAATAAAATTTTAGTGAGTAATGTTAGGAACTCAAATTGTCATTTATCCTTTATGGTAAATTAACGATTATTTTTAATTCACAACAGGACCCGATCTTGAAATTAAAGCAGATGAGAAGCGGAGTATTAAATGGCATTTTTTATCAAGATGCTGAAATGAAGAAGTTCTTTGATCAATATCCTGAATTAGTTTTAATGGATACAACTTACAAACTGACCAATTTGAGAATGCCACTTTATATAATGCTTGTTGTTGGACCATATGGTGAGAGTGAGATTGTAGCAATATTTCTAACAGCAACTGAAGACTCAGTAACACTTAGTGCTATGCTAGATATTTTTAAAGAAAAAAATCTAAACTGGAATTTAATTTCAACTGTTTTTACAGATAAAGATTTGACGAAAAGGGAGAATATTCGCCAAGCCTTTCCGCAAGTCGCTCTCTTGTTGTGCATTTTTCATGTACTCAGATGTATGAGTAGGGAAATAACTACAAAAAAAATGAATATTTCAGAAGATCAAAGATTGAGTGCACTAAAAATGATTCAGAAAATGACTTATGCATCATCCGAGGAAAAATATGAAAGCATTCGCAATGAATTTCACAAAGTTATGCCGGGAACAGTTGTTAAATATTTTGATGCTAATTGGCATGGTTGCAGATATGAATGGGTGCATTGTTGGCAACAACAAAATGTAACATATGGAGAAAAGACCACTAATCGTTTAGAGTTAATTAATCATCGAATCAAAGCTGTTGTTACCCTACTAAGTCCTTTGCTAGTCTTTTTCTAAGACATGCATGCGTCACGAAAGAGATCAACACTATATAAATTCAACTGAGCGTGTTCCAGTTAGTATAAGCCACCTTAATGCAACTGAGCGTCTTTATTATGAGCTACTTACTCCATTTGCATTTTCTTATGTCAAACAACAGCTAGATGATTCAATCAGTTTATAAGGGCATTTGGAAAATGGAATTTTGCAAATGGATATATGTGGTAATATAGAAACACTTCATGAAGACAGTTGCATTTGTTCTTTTTTTAAATCTATGGGTTTGCCATGCAAACACATGTTAGCTGCCATAAGAATTAAAAAAACATCTGTTTTTTTAGAACTCGGTGTTGCTTCAAGATGGTGTAAACAACAGGTTTTTTTAAGTCTTTTGTTTATTCACAAAGGCTACTAAAACTAACTTGAATAATATTTTTAATAATAATATAAAATATTGATAATATAATATTATATATTATTTATTATTATTTAAAATATTAAATAATAATATAATAATATATAAATTTTTCTAAATGTAGTTGTATTAAAAGCATAGAATTTTCCAATCACCGGCTGTTCAAGAGAGTCATGTGGCTGTGTCATTGCTTAAGGACAGACCCTTAACAAATGCAGAAAAGTTTTGTCGTGGTAATCGTCTTCTTCAGCGTTTAGCTGAATTAGTTGCTGATGGGGGTATGTCACAATATGGTAGCAGAATGAAACTTCTTGAAGACTTAACCAACATCTGGAGTGCCAATCGTGAAGCCAGAGTTATTGCAGTTGATTTTAATTATGATAAAAGCACTTTTTCTACAAAAGAAGTAGTTAACATTCCTGCAGCTGAAAAACTACTTGATGACATTGATTTCACAAAAGTAGATACTTTAATATCCAAAGTAGATAGCGTTGATAGAGTAAGAAATTTTTTTAATGATGTTTAGTTTGCTTTATTAATAGGTATTGTAAAATCTGTTTGTTTTTTTGTTTTCTACTCAAGCTACTTATATTTTCATTTTTGTCACAGTCATCTTTATTAATAAATCAAGTCAGGGAAGAATTTAATGAAAATACTAATCAAGTCATGACTACTCAGTTGGAAAAAGAATTTAATGAAAATACTCAAGTCATGACTACTCAGTTGGAAAACGGAAACGGTTGGAATATTTGAAACTTATAATTAAATATATATATATATATATATATATATATATTATATATATATATATATATATATATATATATATATATATATATATATAAATATATATATATGTATATATATATATATATATATATATATATATTTATATATATATATATATATATATATACATATATATATATATACATTTTTTTTTGTTAACTCTAAATGTTTTAATTACTAATTTTTATATAGATCATCCTAAAAACAATACTTTAGAAGTTCCTTTAACTTCAAATGAAGTAAATATTAAAAAACTAAAATTTCCCTCAGCAGTTTCATGTCGTGGAAGGCCAAAATTAAAAGTAAAAAAAAATGCGATTGGCCTGCGCATTCTGCAAAAAAATCATTGTATACCATTTCAAATGAAGTCAATTCCAGAAAAAGTGGAAAGTAAGTAAACATTATCTTTTTGAATGACATTTGACAAGAAAAAAAATATATATATATATTTATATATGTATATATATATAGACACACACACACACACACACACACACACACACACACACACACACACACAGAGTGTTAGTGTTTGAGTGTGTGTATATATATATATATATATATATATATATATATATACACACACAAACATAACACTGGTATATATATATATATATATATATATATATTTTTTTTTCTTTGTTAAATATCCAATTTTATTCAAAAAACAAAAGTAATTGTTTTCCGTTAGATGTGGGTATTCTCTGTGATCAATAAAACACATAAAGTTTAATTTATTTTCAAAATTTGAAGACTCAAAGAACTCAAGTTTTTTGCCACAATAATGATGTATTTGATGTAATTAATGATGTATAACAGGTATTTGGTAAAGTTGCTTTTTTTTATTAAAATTGATACATTTTAATATAATTTGCATTTTTTTTCTTTTTTTTTCTTTTCTTTAGTTTTACCTTCGCTAGCGTTTTGACTTCGTCTACTGTTGAAATATGGTTTTAATTTTGGTATAGTTTCATGATTTAAAACTTACTATATTAACCATCAGCCAACAGTTTGGTAAAAAAATATAAAAATAGACAATTAAGGTAAGAATAATTTTGTTTACTGACAAAACTAGAAATCTGTTTTTAATTATTATAATGTCTAACAGGTTGTGCTAGTTTCACATGGTGAAGAAGAAACACCAAAGGGTCTGCTGGTTGTTAAGTTTACTAGGTTATTTCTTGAAAGGTGTTTACTAAAAGCACCACCATTTTTATGGCCATAGAAAATCATTGAACAAATGTTTCTACTCCACCAATTGTATGCTGAGTTCTTAGTCCTTGGCCTTGCCTTAAGGCAAAAAATTAAGGCTTTGCCCTTTTTTTTGATTTAAAACTGTTGACCTTGGTCTTGGCCATGAAAATTTTGGCTTTGGCCTTGATTGTTTTGGCCTTAGGCTTAAAAATAAAATACATAAAATTAAAAAATTGAAAGTTTTCATTCTTTATTTTTATTTTTTTTTGTTTTTGCCTTTCAAATATATCAACAAGTATATTTTCTTATTGACTTCCTATAATTTTGGTTTGTTTTTACAACATGTAGTTTAATGTCGCAGCAATTGCTAGCTAGAGTTTAGTTTATAATTAGTCTTAACGTTAGGCAAAAAATTAAGTCTTATTCTTGAAAATGTTTGCGTAGGCCTCGGCCTTGACCTTAAAACTCTTGGCCTCGGCCTTGTCTTTGGCCTTGTAACTTTTGGCCTTGTAACATGTGGCTTTAGCCTTGGTACCTTTGGGCTTGTTAACAACTATGAATGTATGTTTTAAACATCATTTATGTTTTAAACATACAATCATTTATGTTTAACCACATACAAAACATAATCATTTTTAAGCTGATTTAAGTTTTAAGACAAAATTTTAAAGACAAAATTTTTAAGACAAAATTTTAAGACAAAATTTTTATCTGGTAACGTTAAATAAGGAGCTAAAATAAAATGGTTGTAAAATAAGATAACGTTTTTGAAACTGAAAACATTAAAACAACCAAGAAAGCTTTCCGTATAATCTTAAGTTTGCTGTTTTTACAATTAATCCTAATTGTTTTTTACATTTAAACCCAAAGTTAATCCCAACATAGTTAAACAACTTTTATTACTAAAAAACCACAATATCGAGTGAGTATGAAATTTTTTTTTAATACTATTATATAAATTTGTTCTTTTAGCACGTTTAATTGGATCTAAAAACTGTGCAAACGTTGGTTTATCGCAAATTATACACACAAAACTTGGAAAACAGTGCCTTTTGATTTTCGCTTTCTCTCTTTCTCAAGATTTTATTGTAGGGGAGGGGTTAAGAGAACGTAATTGTTTTAAAATAAATAAATAATTCTTTATTTTGGTATTACTTGGACGCTTATTAAAAGGAGGGAGGCCAAAAGATATCACGTCTACAACACCTGCAGATGTGCAAGACCTTCAAATTGAACCACAAGAACTCCCCTCGTCGGTCACAAACGAAAAAGTTGTAATTGAAATATTAAAACCTTTTCTTACATCTCAAGCTTGACAAAAACTAAAATCTTCTTTGAAAAAACGTCAGAAAATGGCTATTTGGAATTGCCCAACATGCAGTTTAAATGCATCTGTAGAAAGTATAGAGTGCGACAGTTGCTTGGAGTGGTATCATTTTAAATGCGTCTAAGTTACTACCAAAATGAAAAGAAATTGGTTTTGTAACAAATGTAAATTGGGTAGTGTATGTCAAAAAAGTTAAGATCGATTGAAAAAAGTGACTAAAGAAAGCTTCGGTATTATATAAAGTATCAAATAAAGTACATTTAATCAAGTATATTCAAAGTCAGGGGTAGTGCAAAACCGTGTAACTAGCATTGGCAACTTAATTGCATATTAATAATTTTAACACCAAATATCTTTTGTTGAAACATAAATATTAAAATGAACCCAAAATCTGTTGAAATAAAAAAACTAAATAAAGTTTTTAACTGAATAACTAAATGATAAGTTTATAAAATATAACTAGTTTATAAACTTATCATTAAAAAATTCTTTTAATATAATTCAACATTCAAGTAATATCTTTAGTAAGGATTCTTTTATTCTTTTTTATAGTTTTAAAGAATTTTATTTTCTTAACGGGTATATCTAACCTCTAGAAATATTGTATTATATTATAAAGAATTTTATTAAGATAAGTTTAGATACAATAAACCGATGTTTTAACTTAATTATATAAAAGTTTATCCCAGATATTAACTTTTAATAAAAACAGTTTTAACCTTTTCTTGTAAAAAAATATTTAGTGCAGATACATGGTGTTATCCAATGCTAGTTACGCAGTTTTGTAATTTTCCCGACGATATATATAAATAGCGCTTATTGTAGATACAATAAATTAATTTAAACACATATATTAATATATTTTAAGCATGTATATATATAAAGGGTGTCCCAAAATTAACGCAAGATTTGAATTAAATAGAAAACACAGTTTTTAGTCTTTTGATTGTAATTTTTTTATTGATTCATAAAGTACATAGGATAGGGTTATTTATGGAATAACACATCGGGCAAATGGCCTCCGCGGCTTTGCATACACATACGCACTCGTTTGTCGAAATTTTCCATGACCGTTCTGCATAAATGTGGCTGAATTTCGTTGATGCAACGTTGAATCTCCTCCTTTAATGCACGCGTAGTTGAGGGCTTGTTGACGTAGACCTGTGATTTTAGATATCCCCATAAAAAGAAATCTAATGGTGTTAAATCACACGATCTAGGGCCAATTCTGATCACCGAAACGAGAGAGTACACGACCTGGAAATGTCTCATGCAATAATTGAAGTGTTTCACGGGCTGTATGGCATGTGGCACCGTCTTGTTGAAACCACATATGTGGCACCGTCTTGTTGAAACCACATATTGTTGAAACCACATATTGTAACAGTCACTGCTTGACCAGCCTCATTTTCAAAAAAGTATGGTCTAATTATGCCTCCAGCCCAAAATGCACACCAAACTGTGACACGTTGTGGATGCATTTGTTTTTCGACAATCACATGTGGGTTTTCAGTTCCCCAAAAGCGGCAATTTTGGCGATTAACAAAGCCATCAAGGTGAAAATGTGCTTCGTCGCTTAGGATGAGTTTACTCGAAAAATCAGCATTCATTTGTTGTTGCTCAATA